TTGATATCAACTCGCTTGAAACATATTATATAACTTTATAACAGGACGACGTTAATGTCGAACCTGACAACATTTCTCAGGATTAGTTGTAAACACAAGGCTAATACCTAGTAATAACGCACTGGGTGCCAAAAGTTGCGCTTCTTGACTTCTAAAACATCACAAACCCTTTCCCCATTAGAATCCTACGTGCAACATGTCGACACCTCAGTTGCGGTCAGATTTCCACACCTGAAAGCCTTATAAATATTATAAATTTAAACGGGTGTGGAAATCTGACCGTGCTGTACCTGCCACGCAAAATGAACGTGTTAATCCGATCCGCTGTAGGCCGCAAGTGTCATGTTGGAACAGAGTAAGAAGCGTAAACTTTAGGGTTCTTGAAGTATGCAAAAGAAACTAGTGGGCATTTGGAGTGCCAAAAGTATAGAAATAGAAGCTGCATGTGACAGACAGTGATCTAAGTGATTGTTTGTCGCTTTTTGGTGTTATGTTGTGCATTTGACTTCCACGGAAAGAGGTTACCTGGCGCCAGAAGTGATTTGGACTGGAGGCTGGGCACGGCTGGTTGATGGCGCTGCTTCTCAGCAAGTTGGGCCCCCGACAAAGGAAGCGCAACCCGAGGGACCATGATGACATTCTTTTATTCTTACCAATCAATGGTCTTTCTTATGTTTTTCTGAGTCAAGTAGACCCATTCCTGGTTCTTTTGTAGGGGAACAAGACTAGAAAGGGTGAAGGGATTGACAAGACTTTGACAAGTCTGTTCAGTTCGATTTCAATTGCTCATAGCGCGGATGCCTTTTTCCCTTCAAGGTGAGTGGTGAGACGAATGATCAAAGTCCTATTTTGCCACTAGGCATTCCGGTCTGCCAAGCCACTTTTGCTGATGCGAAGGTTGACACTATTTAAGGTAAAGCATGAAGCCAGCAACTGTCCAAGAAATTCGAGCTGAAAGAGCTCAAATCTGAAGGTTTTTTGATCATGTTTTGGGGTTCTTTGGATGAATTTGGGCAATGACTCGACTCATCCATACCGTAAATTGCACCATGAAGGCCCATGAAGGCCCATGGCATTTGAGCAGCTCGCTGAAGCTAGGGTCTCTCGCTCTAGTGACAGCGCTCAGAACCCTTCAGAACAAAGGCTCGATAATCCATGGATGCATGCTTGAGTCCCACTCTCAGTAAAGTTGGCATCCGAGTGGTCCTTTTGCCTGCTATGACGCACTTAAGCCTTGCTGCCCGGCAGCTGTTGCAGATGCAGGTCCCCGTGAGAAATTCCGATTCGCGTGTTACATTGCGAAGCGTGTGGGGTGCAACGTGTCGGGCATTGGTGATGGTGTTTGCGTTGATTCTTCGTTTTTGGAATAACGTTTATATAGTGTTTCAGTTTTTTTTGTTGATGTGATGGTGTTTTGCTTCGTCGCTTGCTCTGTTTCAGACCTCATTTTTCGGAGAGCGGCAGGGAGTTTCATGCAGAGGCAGCCCTCGCCCGACCCACGCCGCGCCTGTCCGGCGACCACCGCGCGGTCGTGGCTTGCTTACTGCGAAAGCCGGAGGATGCAAGCGCAGGCAAGGAGAGGGACCGGCTTTTTTTCGAGGTTTTTCTGACTGCCACAATGTACGTTTCTGGACTCCTGGATTGACACCTGGTCAACATAAATAGATTGAGAACTGTTCCATCAGGCAGATGAAATGACAGAAGACGCGCCGAAACTGTGAAACTGGTGATGAGAGGTTAGAGGTGACCTGCACACCTGACATCAAGAATAGATGGGAGTGGGATTCCACAGCAGACAAGGGTTACGCTATGCCGCTATGTGGTGAGAACTACGCACCCATGCCATCATTGCTTCCGATGCTTCAGAGTCGGTGTCCGGCACCGATCCCATTTGACTCGCAGGCCTGGACGTCTTCTTCATCCTCCGTGCTCAGGCTGAGGGCACCTCCCGCTGGTCAGGGCAAGTGGGCTTCCCAGGTGGACATGTAGAGCCTGGTGAGGAGGAGTGAATGTTGAACGTTTGTGGCCAATGTTAAACGCGTTCTTCAGGAATCGGTGTAAATCTCAAAAAAGGTGCTTGGTGGTAAGAACAGCTGCCCACGTAGAAGGATGCCGGTAAGAACCTTTTCTGTTGCGAAAGCGATGAGAGGACCACGATGCTGTTTCACGAGAGTGCAAAGAGGAGGTGGGACTCTTCCTGGAGCCAAGCTGAGTTTGCCAGAGTGCTTGTGACACTCTTCAGAGTGCACTACAATGAGCCGTTTTTGAATCATTGAGGACGAGCCTGGTGCATACAGATACTTGGGAAGTGCTTTGGTTGCACCTGACTTGTGCTTCGTGTAGGATTCTTATGGGCTTGCACGTAAGAATACCACTCTCTCTAATTCACCCTGGCTGTCGACCCTTTTGTTGACTTGTGTACTTGATGGATCAAGTGTTAAGAAGCCCAGAGTGTTTTGTGCCTGGTTTGGCGTTTTCGCTTTATATCCTGGGTTCAGAATTTCTTTCCCCCCCACCCTCCTCCAAGAAATTCTGAACAACTTCTGCAGAAGCCAGAATCGGTCGAGCGCTCTGGTGCAGGGCTTTTTTGCTAAGTGTTCAGGGAGTGTGGTTCTTGTCCTGCAAGGAAATGCAGCTTGTGAACGCAGCGATCAGCATTTTTAGGTCCCAAGTGCTCTGACCAAAGCCCTGGGCTGGGAAGGTGGGCCTGCTGGGCTGCCACCCAGCAGGCCGTACTGAGCATTGAAAAATGCTGCTGAGAGTGCAGGTGGTGGTTGTGGTTTGGGTCCACACACTTGGTGGGTTGTGTTAACCTGGGAGTAAGCTAGGTGAATGTGTAGAGATTGAACATGTTTGTGAGCAGCTCCAAGGCATTGCTACTTTGAAAACAGGATCACACTCGCAAAGAAGCACAAAGAAAGAGGGAACGAAGGTGGAACAAGGAAAACACGATGAGGATCGTTACGGTGCTTTGGCTGTTCTGGTGCAGAAAACCGGCCACAAAAAATTTGTCAGGTTGCTCCTGAAACGATTTTGGGGTCCAGTTGAGCTCAGGCATCGTAGAGCGGTCAGTGGCGCGTCGCCGTGGTTCATTGGTTGTGGCTTGCCGTGTCTACGAACAGCTGGCGCGGCAAAGCCCAAGGCATGTGCAGGCCCCAAGTCTGAATTATCCCGCTATATAGATGGGAGGGCATGGAGTTTAGAACATGTGATGTGGATTGAAGTAAGTAGCACTCCCCAAGACTTAACACCACCCTTCACGGATTCGGTGGAGACCCTGAGCAGCCTCGCCCAGACTTTTGGGGCCTCACCTTTTGATCAACAACTTGTTGGGCACTCCACAGCTACCAAATCCACCATGTGGATCCAAGACAGCAAAAATTGGTATGTCCGTAGCATTTTGAAAGGGCCCGGCTGCGTCAAGAGGCAGTAGAGTATGGAATCATGATTTTAGGTATTTGAGTGGCAAACTGAAATGGGCAAGGGCAAGGGGCTTGCAGCACAACCATGCTTTGATCAAGATGAGCCAGCCAAGAACAGTCATAAATCGCAACAACGATCACGGTTGCAGTGAAAACAAGCAGGACAACGCTCCGCACACGCAGGGAGCACGCCCATGAGTCATTTTGCATGTTGAGCAGTATTTATATAAGCATCAAAAGTTTCTGCACAGCTGACGCTGTTTGGGGCTGACGTATGACATGCATGTGCAAGCGCATTTGGTGCGTTTGAAAACTAAATGGGAACGCTGGAAGGCCAACGAAGTTGCTGCTTGCGGATGGACGCCCTTAGAGGCTTTGCTGGGTGATGCAGAGTGCCATGCCTGCAGCCGCGCGCGTTCTCCCACGATAAGTACAATCTGTGAGGCGCCAAGAATAGCTGAGCTTGGTTGATGCTTGCCATCAAGGCCTCTTCAATGGTCCGCCGTGCATGGACCTGTGGGAGAAGTTTGGGATGGCTTTCCGCCAGGGGCTCATCCAATTGGACTGCCATTCCAAAGCACCGAAAAAGCCTGCAGGTCTGTGCGGCTTCCTTTGAAGGAGCTTCATTTGGCAGATGGCACTGACGAGGCAGTCGACAGATCTCACTGGCACACAGACAAGATTTTGCCACATGTTGACACGGCACAGCCCCAGACATTCATGACCCACCAGCAACGTCCAGCACAGAGAGAGAAAGACCAGAGACCAGAGACAGAGAGAGAGAGAGAGACAGAGACAGAGACAGAGAAAGAGACAGAGAGAGAAAAGGAAAAAGAGAGAGAGAGAGCGAGAGAGATAAAAAGAGAGAGAGAGAGGGGGAGAGAGAGAGACAGAGAGACAGAGAGACAGAGAGAGAGAGAGAAAGAGAAAAAAAAGAGAGAGAGAGAGAGAGAAAGAGAGAGAGAGAGAGAAAGAGAAAAAAGAGAGAGAGAGAGAGAAAGAGAGAGAGAGAGAGGACAAAAAAAAGAGATACAGATAGAGAGAGAGAGAAAGAGAGGAAGAGAGAGAGAGAGAGAAGAAAAAGAATGAGAGAGAGAGAGAGAGGAAAAGACAAAGAGAGAGAGAGAGAGAGAAAAAGACAGAGAGAGAGAGAGAAAACACTATATACAAAAAATATCCTTAAAAACTTTTTTTGATAGATATAAAAACTAGACGAGGAGTGGCCCAGTGTGAGTTGTGGCTAAGTGCAATGTGCGGAGTGCGCAGGGTAGCGTAAGCTAGAACGAAACGCGGGGCAAAAGCGCAAAGAAAACATGCGGTGTTTCCGACGCAAATCGCTTGAGTCAAGCTGCGGTGCGGGTTCATGCAAAAGTCTAATCATGTCAAGCTGCCTATCTGTACCTAGCTATGATCCTCACATAGCCAAAAGACTGTGTTGACATGATTGCAACTGTACATACTGTACATGAACAGGCGCTGCCTGAGAAGGTTCGCGGCCCTTCATGCGGTCCTTGCGACGCTGTCGCTGTGCCGTGTTGGCGGTGAGTTGGAACCCAGAAAAGTTCGTAGGCACCTGACTCGAGGTGGTCGCGAGCCACCATCAAGTCGAGCATAGTCTGCCGCTCCGTTGGGATCTGTCCTGTTGTACCCATGTGGTCATACAGGCTCTTGGCGTCAGTGACAACGCCTCCACCAAAAAACTAGCAGTCAAGAGGGTTTGCTGGGTAAGCTGACACTGAGTGGTTGCCTTTGAGCTCCCAGCCTTTGATCTGACATTGGTTTTCAGTTAGTCGATTCCCAAGTGGAAAAAGGTGAGGGAACAGTAAGGCGAGCAACGCGTGACCTTACTACAGAAACATGATGCCAATTGATTCTGACAATTTGAGTAACTTAGAAGTTTCACCATACAGACTAGAATGCAACTTTGTGATGTCCATAAATCCCGCGTTTGTCATGCACATGCCACCGTCTAACCAAGCAGGCCGCTGACTTCATTTTTTCTTACCGTTGCTGCTTCAGCGCCGCCCGTCAGCTCTTCCTCACCTTCTTGCTTTCAGGCTCCTTCTTTGAATCCTCACCACCAAAAAAACATCAAAGATTGAAAGGGCTCCCCCTGCCAACCATCTAGATACACTACTAGATACTAGAATCCCTAAGACGGCGCCAACAAACACAAAAGGATCAAATCAAAAAGCAGACAGAAACGTAGAAGAACCAGAGCAACCAACTCACAAAGCTTGAAAGCAAGGAACGCTTGGGCATGGCCGCTTGGAAGCAGCAGTCTGTAGTAGCTCCGCCTCGACCACCTGGAATGCAAAAGAATAATCAAATCCCTCAGACAATTGCGTAATAACAACAATTTTTTTAGCTTAGCATGAACCAAAACAGAATATGCAGGAATGTTTCGTTCCAAAACAGAATGCGCAGGAATGTTTCTTTCCACTTTGCCTGCCTTCCTCGCTGCCCTTTCATCCTCAAGAGCATATTTGGCTTGCCACGCCAAGTTCAGCAGTGTCACATTGTCTTCTTTCCGGTTCAACACCTCACTCTTCAGCTGGTCATTCTCTGATTTCTGGCGCGCTACGTTATTCTTCAGCTGCTCATTCTGCGCCGCCAAAACAATTGTTGTAGCCTTTTCGTGCTGAAGCTCCTTCTGTGTTGCTACTAGCGCAGCGCGATCTTCTTCAACCTTGTTCTTCTCTGTCTCAAGCTGCTCAGTACGTCGTCTGGCTTTGCGATTTAAATCGCTCAGAGTTTGATTCTTTCCCATCCGGGCAAACTAGCAGAGCAGGATAAAGATAGTTTCGGTACTACTTGCTGCAGCCAAGTTGGCGGTAAGGACACAACAGAAAATTACATGTGGTTTCCCTGGAGAACCTTTTTTTTCCAAAACATGCCTTTATTGCTTTTCCGATTGTCTCACGCATTCTTTGCTTTCATGAACTGTGCTCTGAGTTCAGGATGGTCAGGAACTGCCGAACTAAGGAAGACCAAGGATTCGACATGCTAAGGGCCGGACTAAGGATCCCAAGCGCACAACAGGCCGCACTAAGGCATGACTCAGGATTTGACTAAGGGCTGACTATCTGCACAAGGCGCGAAAAAAATGAAACATTTTAGGCCCTGCTGCGAAGCGGATTAGCCCTGAGAAGGGCGTTCCTTATTCCTTTTTCTGGGACCTGACATTTTTTTGCCGGACTCTCTGTGGACTGCACGACCCAAGATTTGGAGGAACCAAATCCTGTTTTAAAGTTGAACTTACCCACCAAAACTTGGCACCGAGTTTTGGAAGGAAAGTTCAACTTACTTACCCACCAAAACTTGGCACCGCCACGTTTTGGAGGAAAAGTTCAACTTAAAGAATTTCTTTCGACCTCTCTTGGCTGCAGCGATTCCGATCGGAAGCCCGAGAGAGGACACAAAATCAATACTCGCTGTCATCAAGAGAATTCCCTGACCAGATTGTGTAATACATTTGACCCTATTTATTTTGCGTCCTTTTGACCATTCTTGGCGCTCCAAACAAAATAGAGAACAAGCAAAACCCTGTGCATTTTGAGCGGGATGCATTTGCAGGAGGCGCACCATGACGTGTTCTGCAAGGGAGGCCACAGCTCAAGACACCCCGATTCATGCGCTTTGCGCTTAGCACCGCGGCGGTTGGCCATGACGAATGGAACGAATACCCTGACCTTTGATCCACTCAAGCCTCATGAATGAACGGCCGCCCGCATTAAATTCAATGATGAAAAAACTTGCACACCGCATTAATGTCACCCTGAAGCTCAAATCATTCAATGATGAAAAACTTGCGCAAGGCGTTGAGGTGAGTGGGTGGATTTGACCCACCCATCTCACAATCCAAGAGCGTTCATGACATCTGAGGGCCCCTGAGGAGCATGCACGGACGCTGACTAGGCCGCACGGATGAGGCCTCATCGTTTGCACGCTGCATGGTCTCTGAGCAGTCACAAGCGCTCACTCATTCCCAGGCGGGTGGGTCAAATTAGCGCTCACGAGTGTTGAGGGCTAGGGGGTGATTCTCAACATCACTTTTCTAGCGCTCACGAATGTTAGGGGTGACTAGCGCTCACGAGTGTTGGGGTCACTAGCGCTCACGAGTGTTGAGAGTTTTGGTGTTGATTCGGGCCACAGCAAGTTCCTAGATAATCTACTTGTTGCTTTCCCCAGAACTGCACACGCTGTCAGCATCCACATCCTTTTTTGGACGCGCCAAGCCCTTGGGCCCCTTCAGGCCATGAAAGAAAGATTTTGGTCGATTGTTGCAAAAGCTTTGAAAGCATCTTCCCACATGAAAACAGACACCTTCCATTGCTGCATTGCCAACTGCAGCGCCTGGCGAGGGAACTTAGCATTGGTTTGATTTATATATAGCTTGTAGCAAGCCCGACACTCCGATCCAAACAAAACGGCCCAAAAACCAAGCGCCCTACCAAAACGAACCTTCTGCCCAAAACGAACCTTTCCAAACACCCTACCTGCTCCTCCTTCTGCCTTTGCGTGACCAGAGCGATGAATTTCACTCCCCGGCCTTGCAGGATTCCAGCCACTGCCATGTAGATCGCGCCAGGCAATCATCCACAACTGTCCTCATGGTACTATAGAGATCGGGCTTCTCCTGAAGCAAGCCCAGGGCTGGTAAGGGGTGACAAGGATTGGCAATCATGTTGCACAGTGTGAAGTCAAAAGGGAAGCCATTGCGATCCAGCGTCTCATATCACACTACTTGCACTGGGAATATCAAAACCTTGCTGCACACATGTCCACAGCAAAAACGTCACGGGTCCTGCTTGAGGTCAGAAGTAGCCCAGACACGCGCCCACTCCTGTGAACTTGACACGGAAGCCCTGCTCTCCACGCAGCGTGGCCGTGTCCAAAACATAGCTACCCACGAAGAAGGGCGCATAGATGAGCTTTCTCTGGCAAGGCCTTCAGTTGTGTCGCTACAATGACGTCTGCCGTAGTGGGCTCGCGCTCTAACTGGTGAGCTCTCAACACCAGGCCATAAGAAGGCAACTTTAAACCAAAATTTGGATCCTCCAAATCTTGGGTCATGCAGTGCACTGAGAGTCCGGCAAAAAAATGTCAAGTCCCAAAAAGGAATGCCCTTCTCAGGGCCAATCCGCCCCAAATGTTTCTTTTTTTTCGCGCCTTGAGATCGTCATTCACGAAACCTTAGAAATCCTTTGTGCGGCCCTTAGTCAAATTCTTAGTCATTCCTTAGTGCGGCCCTTTAGTGCGCTTGGGATCCTTACTCCGGCCCTTAGCATGTCGAATCCTTAGTTTTCCTTAGCGCGGCAGCTCATCCTGACAGCTCATGAAATCTAAAAACATATGAGACAATCAAAAAGGCCTGTTTTAAACACATTAAAAAAACTGTTTGCTGCATCAGTTGGCCAACATGCAGGTGCGAATGCCACACACACGATCTCTCGCAAGATGTATAAAATAGAGAACTTCGTGATGTTAGGCCAAAACTCCTGTGTTTAGACCCAAATCCTGTGTTTTATACCAAAAGTAGTCGATCACTATTCACCGTTATTTCAGGAAACCTGAATAAAGTGTGTGTGGCTTGTGCCTTCCACAATCACTCCCAAAAAATCATCAGAATATGAAGCAGGCGAAGCAAAATATGTCTCACGATATGACTTTTGTTTGAGCCCTGTGAAACTGCACGCGCACACTGCATCAGATGCTGCGTACTAAGCAACAAAAAACACACAACGTGTGAGTTGCGTGCCACGCATACTGTGGATTTGAGTTCCTTGTTCGCGCTCGCCCGCCTCAAATTAGGGAGGGCCGCGCGTCGTTGACGAGCAATGGCTTCGTAAAAGGTCGTTTGCTGCGACCCGGACGTTTTCGACCTCGACTAGGACTTTGAGAGCCTAGCACTCGGTAGCCATCTCCCTACCAACATTGGTAGCGGAGCTCTGGCAGCTCCATGCCACCTCCGAGCGATGGACCTACAGCCTCGGGACCATCGGCTACCTCTTCAATGGCTGGGGGCACCATTGAAACGATGAAGGACACCTACATCCCCGTGTTCAACAACAGAGTGTCCGACTACA